TGTTTTCTTTGTGATGGTGGAATCACTGAGTGTAGTGTGGATATGTGTTTCTGTTTTTCATACAGAGGGTTTAGAGTTTGAAGTGTGAGGTTTTATGGTATTTGACTGAATATGGTTTCTTCTATTGAATTAGTGAAGTTATTGGCAAAGAAGGTGGGAGCAGAAGAAGGAAAGCTTGGTGTTGCTAGGTCGGTTTCTAGGGCTTTGAGCTGGGTATTATTGATGATGTTTTTATTTGCAAGACTGCAGCTCAACCTCAGGAAAAATTCCTCTTGTTAGAGGATCACAAATTTCTGCCAATTTCAGACACACTCAAAGCCCCCGCCTCTGTGGCCCCACAGCACCAAAGTGTGGCTCCAAGGCAAAATTCACCGGACCGGGCTCAGCTGCAGTTTCTTTGTTCTCCATGCTCCGTCTGCCCATGGTGCTGATGCAATCCAGCCAGACCACCTACGGCCGACTCTGGAGTTTGTCTGTGCTACCGCCCACCTGCAGCACCAAAGATGTGTGCAATTTCAGGTGTGTTGGACTTGGGGGAGTACCTGAGCAGGCTCTTACTTATGACGCATTTATTTGCTAGACTGTGGCTCAAACTCAGGAAAAATTCCTATTGTTAAAGGGTCACAAATTTCTGACAATTTCATGCACACTCAAAGCCCCCACCTTCATGGCCCCACAGCACCAAAGTGCGGCTCCAGGGCAAAACTTGCGGGATCACGCTCAGCCGCCATTTTTCTGCTCTCCGTGCCCTGTCTCCCTGCGGTTGTGATGCAATCGTGCCTGACTGGTAATGGTCGGCTCTGGAGTTTGTCTGTGATACCACCCACATGCAGCACCAAAGATGCGTGCAATTTTAGCTGTGGTGGAGTCCAGGGAGTACCTGCCACCTGCAGTCCCATAACCATGACAAATAAAGCACGGTGTCTCCCAGTCTGACCCAAGTCCACTCTGTAATCTGCTGGGAGGGGAGGGAGGTAGCCTTTCTGGCGCACCAGTGAGATCTCCACCTCAGTCTCAGCAATGGTGCCCATGTCCAGCTGCACCCTCACCACCCAAATTACTGACAAAATCAGCCGCTGGAGACAGGTCTCTGCTACTGCCCACTGGAATATTGTATTGGTCGCTGGTAAGCTGCTATAAGTGATCTCATTCTTGGCTCAGGGATCTCAGG